ATACATACATATACATATATATATATTGAAAAAATATTACGAAGCCCTACAGGCGATTATATTACAGCTAATTATAAGTGATTCTTGCGTGTTTCACCTAATAAAGGAACATACCGTATGGAAACTCGTTCGTTTCGAACCTTTTCACACGTCACCAACATACATAAGAAAAGAAGAAACAACTGGATTAGTTTTCTCTTTATCTTAAACAAAAAAAAAGAAAAAAACGAAAAGAAAAAATAGTCATAATCACAAGCGCACAGCGTTTGTTACGTGTATTTGTTTAAAGCACTCAATGACACTTGTTGCATTTTTACTTTTACGTGCTCTGTAACTACACTTTTCTCTCTTATCACATGCAGTTATAGGTAAAATTAGATAAAATTACAAACATTACGACGTATTACATAACAAGTACGAATCAAGAAAAAGTCGATTCTTGAGTAATCCTTTGTTCGAACTTTCATCGAAGAAACGCAACAGATTCGTGAATTACAATATCTTTTATAGCAAATTACTGTGAAAATTTCGTGTTAGAACGCATAACAATACATATTGCACTACGTAGCGTGAAGCTCATTACAAAATTAAGATTTACAAAAGTCTGACTAATACAGACGATAATACTTAAATTCTACGCAACATTGTATCGAGCCATCTCTTTGTTGTTATTTTTTTTTTTTTTTTTTCATTCTCTCGAGTTACAAATAATTTACAATATTATATCGTAACGAGCTTGGTTCTAGGCACAAGGGCCTACCCAAACAAAAGTTAAATCACGACACGTACAGACATAGTTCGATCCTTCGAGACTATGCGTAGCCGATCGATGCTCTAGGTTTCGTGTAATACAGCGGATACTTAATTTAAATAATATCCTTTTTAACTATCACAGGCTGAGGTCGCTGCAGTTTCAACAAATAATTAATAACAACATCAACGATAAGTAGTTGCACTTTGATCCGATTTGAAATTGTTTTATCAGCGCAATCGCTTCGCTATCGAAATAATCGAAAGATAGAAAAAAAGGAAAGTACGCGGAGGACGTCTATTTCTTATATTTTGTTCCATTGTTCTTCGTTTCCTAAGCTTTTCACGCGTTTAGCGGCTGTTCAATAATAGCAATGAAAGTGAGGTAGAATCCAATCCGTGAAGAAAATAAGAATATAAAGTTTTCTATCTGTCTTAGCTAAGAGTGAGGGATCTACTTTCGCCAATAATAATATCGTACGCTAATTAAAATTACACGCGGTTTTAACATATTCTTATCGTGGTAATCATATAAAGTAGCGATGATAATAATAATATTAATAATAATTACAATGGTTTACGATAAAATAATAATAAGGACAATAGTATTTCAAAATAATTATTAGTATAACAATGAGATTAATGTTTTGCAATATAATGGCTTCATATATTTATATTATATATATATATATATACATATATAAATGCATGTATATATATTTATATATACATGTATTTATATATTTTCTTATGGTTGTATGGTGGGGCAAAGGATAAGTGACAGCTATGTACAGTACATACTTGCCTTAGTTGTACCATCGTTACGTTTATTATACGTACCTATATTCTCGATAATCATAATCGTAATTGTACGACAATAATCAAGAATCGCAATAAACAATATTGATCTGTAATAATCACTAATAATAATAATATTATCGTCAGTTTTACTCATAAAATACTCTATATTTTCGTGTAGTAATCTTATGGTGATATCATAATTAAGAACTAATATGCAGTATGTACGTAAAGGGGATGTGTTCAACCAGGATATGTCGGTGAAAACTATGGTGTATCAAGCGTCAATTCTTTTTTCTTCATTATATTTATATATATATATATCTAACATACGTGATATATATATATGTATCATATATATATATATATATCATTCACTATCATTTATCGTTTTTTTTTTTCGTTTTTGTTTCGCAAAACTACTATTACAAAAGTGCGTACTCTCGTCTTATGTTTTATAGGTACATACATGTATCGGCGTAACCTATCTATATATACTTGTTCATTGTCCTTTATATTAGATCTGTAGCTTTAAATTATTCTCTTCGATTAAACAGGATGCGCCAAAAGTAGTGCTGTCGCTAGAAGCTGGATCACTCTTTCTATGTAAAAATAAGCGACAGGGCTGGGGTCTATTTCTTTTTTCTCGTGTAACAAATCTCCAATGTGTTCAAGGATAGTCTCTATCATCAAAACGCGTACATTTGATTCGATAAGTTGCGAGTCGCTTTACTTCGGCAAACCTGTATTTTGATATTCGATTGCTTCGCGTTACTCGATTAATTATTATTCCAACTCTCAAGTCTTCTTTTTAAACACGATAATCGGCTGGCATAACTTCCCGCTTCTTGTTCGATTCAAAATCGTATAAAGATTTTTCGACATACGCTCGAAACATCGAATTATCGTTACAGCCGATCAAAATATCGCGCGAAGTGCAGTAATATTACACCATAGAACATCATCTATATCTCATACGGTCCCGTGGAATAACGATTAACAGTATCGTTTACAATTTCGAAGAAAATAGTATTATTTTTGATTTCCATCTGTAGTTTCGTTTTCCTAGAACGTTAAGCGACCACCCGTGTATTTTACGATATTGAAAGTTAATTTCCCTGAAAACCAGACTTCGTACCGAACAAAACTTGTTCCACCACGGTCGACCTACTTTTTCACAGAAAAATAATCCTACAACCGGTTGCAGCACGATTTTCGCCACAGCCTGCGTGCTTTCCTTAAACGGAGCACTATGATAATCCTCTTGTTTAACGTCTCACGCATACACGCATACGCACGCACATTTTTCAAATATGCAAATTCACTCATACACGTACATACATACACACGCGCGTATTTTTGTTATATATAATATGTATATGTATATATATATATATGTATATATATATATATATGACACGGTACTTTCTACGCATCGACGGTATGTATATAGGTATATCTTATCTTTATCGTCGTGTCGTATCAGAATCTTTTGTTCCTCCGATGAATCGATCATCCATCTCTATTTCTCCCCGTTATTAATTTCCTGCTTTCTCCCTCCCTTTCTTTTAATTCGCTCTTACCCACTTCGAATCGTGCGATCTTGCTTTTCCTTATTCTTTGCCGAGGATAACGCGAAACAACATACCGCAACAATCCGATAAACAATCCCTGTTTTTTCCCTTTTTCTCTGTGTTCTTAAAAAATGTTCGTCGACACGCAATTCAGAACTTGCTTTTTATTTCTCGTTCGCCGTTTTTAATCGAAGCTTTTTAGGCACCGTTCGAGACTCGACCCGAGGAAAAATATTAAGAATAACAAATCTTACGCTCCTATGCTCATGGCCTAACGAGCCAATCGATCTCTCCCTTCCTCCCCGCCTCTTTTTTATTTCCTCTCTAGCTTCCTGCGTTCTGCTCTTTCCTGTCTTTCTTTCTTTTTTTTTTCCTTTTTTATTTTTATTCATTCATCTTTTCGCTTCTCTTTGCTGCTGGTTTAGCACCCTCGGGTTTATCGTAGACCATACCGATGTTAATTAAATCGTGTGTACGTGTGTGTACGCGCGTACGTATGTCCTGTATACTTTTTACGCGTTTGCGAAAAGTTCGATTCTGTTTTTACCTATTAAAAGTGGCAACTCGAACAGAAATCAGTGGAATACTTTCGACGACTGGGGAAGACGTTAGAAACGGAGGTCTCTGAAACAGGACGCAACACGCGACAAGTTGTACCAAGACTTCGTTTAGTAAAATATCGGTGCACTTCGAACGGAAAATCATCGGCGACACTGCAAAACGGAGAGGGTCGCT